GATGACCTTTTGTGTCTTGCCCTCCTTGTGCAAGGTGTCGATGGTCGTCTTTTGGACAACTGTCAAGTCAGCAGTCTTCCCCATGATTGTGTAGCCTATAGAACTAGACTGAAAGACAATTTAAAGGCTTTTGCAGGTGGTTTGAGTTAATTAGCTGATTAGAGTGTGGCACCAGGGGCCATCAATTTTGAACCTTTTCACAATATTCTAATTTTCTGATATGATGAATTTGAGATTTTCATTTGTTGTCATTTGTAATCATCAAAATTAAACAAAATAAACATCTGAAATATATGAGTTTGTATGTAATGTATGAATATAATATACAAGTTTCACTTTTTAAATGGAATTACTGAAATCAATCTACTTTTTCATGATATTCTAATTTTATGACCAGCACCTGTACATTTTGCAACATAATTATTTTATGCCCCAACATAAATTTATACAAATTAGGTGATGACATCATTAAGATGGACTTCTGAAAAGCCTCAGTTCAAGTTTTATGAGCTATAGCCAAATATCCCTCATTTTTTTTTTTTGTTTTTTGTGCATTCCGTCTTCTGTTTCTTATTTCTCTAAGTATGGGTTTTTAAGAAATATTACATTATGCTGCCACACTTGAGGATGGTAAGATCAAGAAAAGCAACTCAATCAGCAACCAGTTTTTATTGCTAAGCGAAGCATAGTGAATATTTAGTTGTAGCATTTATTACAACCCAGTCTCATGGGAAAATGTACCCCCACTACGTTGGTCCACACTGCAAAACGTAGTGGAGGTACATTAATGGCCATTTTTTTGTGGTACTGTTACGTTTCTTCTGCCTATACGCTTTCTATTGTTTTACGTCCTAGTCACGTGACTTTCAAGATTCCAGCTGGGAGAAGAAAAAAATATATATAGATGGCCGACATTCGCTCATTTTTTTGTGGAAAGATTAATAACTTGAGTTTGTTTTTGCATTAAAATGAGTTTTGATTAAATTTCTAGTGAGAAATGTATAGTTTGTTGCCAGAATATTTACTCAGGGAATGTACATATTCACTTGCTTGTTCGTTTCTTGCAAAGATTTTTCAAGATAATGTGAAACTGTAACGTTTTGGTATAAACATGGCTGAGATTTCTCTAACTTTTAGTGGGAAAATCAATAATTTCAATCAGTTTCTGCATTTAAATGGGTTTTGATTACATTTATAGCGAGAAGTGTAGGGTTTATTTACATAATATTTACTTAGTGAACATACATAATCACCCGCTTGCTAGTTTTTGCTACGTTTTTTCGGATCTCGTCAGGATTATGTGAAATTGCAACGTTTTGGCTGCTACTCATCGCCTAGCATTTAGCTGCCGCCCCGATTCAACATTGAATTCTTTGTGATTTAACTCCATCTGACGGATCAAACCCTCGCCACTGCGTGCGTTGCGTCTGAGGTTGATTTTCAGATCAATGCATTACGTCGTGGCATACGGGAGAAACTAATTAAACTAGTTAAAAAAAGGATCATGGGTTAAGATCGGATGTGTTTTATTTGGAAATCTACCGGATCCTTTGTGCAATTAACTTCCTGTTTGGTGCGATCTCATTGATGGATTTTGACCAGATTTTGACCAAAGAGGAACTAAAAAAAACAAAAAACAATTTGAATACACAACCAGCATATCTGGAATCGGTGACAGAGAGCGACTGGGACCAGAAGTTTATTAATTTCTCCCCACTGATTTCCATTCAAAATGTTTTCGATCCCACCGAGCTCTAGGGAAGGGGCGGGCATACCGCCACCTACTGTTCATGAGTGTGTAGCAACATTGTTTTACATCTATTAAATTCTATTTTTTAATTTTGTATTCTGAAGATAAATAAATAATGCTTTCCTTAATCTATAAATATCTTTTATATTTCCTTTATTTCCCAATAATCCTTTAAGACTCCATTCTTGGCCTGTCCTTTCAACTCTTTTCAATTTCTTCCTTTCAGGTCCAGATGTTTTAAAGTTCATCAATACGTGTTCTATATTTTCTATCTCTCCACATCCTTCACATTTATCATTATTTTTCCTCCCTATTAAGTATAAATTGTCATTTAAATACGTATGACCTACTCTTAATCTGATCACTATTATTTCTTCCCTTCGGTTTCTCTCATTAATATTTCTATTTAATACTGACTTTTGTACTTTTATAACCTTCTTCCTTTTTTATCTTCATTCCACCTTTTTTGCCATTTTTCAATTTCTTTCCTCTTAATAAATGATTTTCCTTCCCCTTTCCCTAAAGGAATTGTAATTGTTATTGCCTCCTCTAATTGCTAATTTGTCTACTACTACTACATTTTCCCACTTTGACCTTTTAAGGTTAGCATATTGACCAAAAGCTGACACCAAAAATAAAGCAATCGATTATTTACAACAATATGCTACATTTAATGAAGACTAATACAGATTTTACTCTCTTATAAGAATTAGTTTTAGGTTTTATAGGGGAGAGTTTGTATCGGCAGTCATTTGGGAATCTTTTATGTATTTACTGGTAAAGAACAACCTCTCAACCCATTTAATGTAAATGTTGCGTCGAACCAGAAAGTTACTTGAAGAGCATAGATGCATAAATATATGCATAGCTTTAACAAGGGCCTCATGAAGGTCTGTTCTGTTATTCTCTTTTGGAGAATATAGACATTGTGGGCATTCATTTCCCTGATAAGCTGGTGAAGATTCTTAGACATCCAGGTCATAATCATTCCAAAAAAAAAACAAACAAACAAAAAAAAAAAACTTTGGACTTTGTTTTTCAAGTTTGAAGACTTCCCATTCAGGACGTTTTTCAATTCAAAATTACAGTAGCCCAACAAATCCTTGTTTTGGCTAGGAAAATATGCAAATTGAACCTGATGCCTGATCCCAATAGCTTGACTCTGAACAGAATTTGATCCCTATTACTTTTTGGCCACATGCACATTATTGTGCTGCCTGGTCAACCCTATGAAAATGTTCTGGAACTGCCACTGAACTGACACCCAATGCATGGAGGGTAACCCAAAAAGGGCCATTGTTAGAGAAACTGGGTGCCTACAAAGTGCTGTTTTCAAGCCAATTAATGGAAAGTTAGGTGGAATGAAAAGTAGACAAATAACAATTACAATTCCTTTAGGGAAAGGGGAAGGAAAATCATTTATTAAGAGGAAAGAAATTGAAAAATGGCAAAAAAAAAAAAAGTGGAATGAAGATAAAAAGGAAGAAGGTTATATAAAGTACAAAAGTCAGTATTAAATAGAAATATTAATGAGAGAAACCGAAGGGAAGAAATAATAATGATCAGATTAAGAGTAGGTCATACTTATTTAAATGACAATTTATACTTAATAGGGAGGAAAAATAATGATAAATGTGAAGGATGTGGAGAGATAGAAAATACAGAACACGTATTGATGAACTTTAAAACATCTTGACCTGAAAGGAAGAAATTGAAAAGAGGACAGGCCAAGAATGGAGTCTTAAAGGATTATTGGGAAATAAAGGAAATATAAAAGATTTATAGATTAAGGAAAGCATTATTTATTTATCTTCAGAATACAAAATAAAAAAATAGAATTTAATAGATGTAAAACAATGTTGCTACACACTCATGAACAGTAGGTGGCGGTATGCCCGCCCCTTCCCTAGAGCTCGGTGGGATCGAAAACATTTTGAATGGAAATCAGTGGGGAGAAATTAATAAACTTCTGGTCCCAGTCGCTCTCTGTCACTGATTCCAGATATGCTGGTTGTGTATTCAAATTGTTTTTTGTTTTTTTTAGTTCCTCTTTGGTCAAAATCTGGTCAAAACCCATCAATGAGATCGCACCAAACAGGAAGTTAATTGCACAAAGGATCCGGTAGATTTCCAAATAAAACACATCCGATCTTAACCCATGATCCTTTTTTTAAACTAGTTTAATTAGTTTCTCCCGTATGCCACGACGTAATGCATTGATCTGAAAATCAACCTCAGACGCAACGCACGCAGTGGCGAGGGTTTGATCCGTCAGATGGAGTTAAATCACAAAGAATTCAATGTTGAATCGGGGCGGCAGCTAAATGCTAGGCGATGGGTAGCAGCCAAAACGTTGCAATTTCACATAATCCTGACGAGATCCGAAAAACGTAGCAAAAACTAGCAAGCGGGTGATTATGTATGTTCACTAACTAAATATTATGTAAATAAACCCTACACTTCTCGCTATAAATGTAATCAAAACCCATTTAAATGCAGAAACTATTGACTATTGATTTTCCCACTAAAAGTTAGAGAAATCTCAGCCATTTTTATACCAAAATGTTACAGTTTCACATTATCTTGAAAAATCTTTGCAAGAAACGAACAAGCAAGTGAATATGTACATTCCCTGAGTAAATATTCTGCCAACAAACTATACATTTCTCACTAGAAATGTAATCAAAACTCATTTTAATGCAAAAACAAACTCAAGTCATTAATCTTTCCACACAAAAATGAGCGAATGTCGGCCATATATATATTTTTTTTCTTCTCCCAGCTGGAATCTTGAAAGTCACTTGACTAGGACGTAAAACAATAGAAAGCGTATAGGCAGAAGAAACGTAACAGTACCACAAAAAAATGGCCATTAATGTACCTCCACTACGTTTTGCAGTGTGGACCAACGTAGTGGGGGTACATTTTCCCATGAGACTGGGTTGTTTATTATGCTGGCTTTGATGTTTTCCACAATTTCTATTTAAGATTTTCCTTATATTCACATACTGTAAAACCTTTGCAAATATATGATGACTGTAAAAGAGGCGTCAAAATAAAAACCAGGAATGCAAGCTAACACCCTTCCGTTTTATGTCTTTCTTGTGACCTGCACAGACAGTTGGGTCTATTAGACTTTAACAAGCTGAATTTATGAGTTTATGTTTGGTGTGTGCTGCTGAACAGGCTAGCTCCCTCGTTACAAGAGAAGGATTAATTGCCGCTTTACTTTCTTATCTCTGCCAAACAGCTGTTCCAGAAACTGAAGAATCTGATGAGGCCATATTCTGTTGAGTTCGAGTCACCGCTGGAGCTATCTGCCCAGGGTAGGACCAGGAACACACCCTAACACTCTCAGTGTCAGAGACGGACACAGGAACTGACGTCCACATGCTACAGCCAATACTTACAGGATGATGTTCACACATGCCATCTGTCCAGCACTGACAGCTCAGAAGGAGGAATTTACAAAACAGATGTTTCCCTTTATATTTACAGCATTATATCCACTTTTCAATGTCCTTATTTTCTTCATGAATATCCAATTAACTCCTTTATCACCTTTCTTTTCCTTTAGATGTAAAAAACCTGCCTGTTATCTTATATATATACTAATCAGTTACTATCAATGCAGGGTAATAAAAAGCAAATTATAGAAAAGAAATGCCAACCCATGGTAAATCCACTTGAGCTTCTATAGATATAATTATTAAAAATTAGATAATAAACTGGTTAATGTGATCAATTCAATCAGGCCCAACATAAATACAGTTAATGCAAGTCTTTCACATATTTACTGCAGAAAAGAAGTCATTTCCGTAAATAATATTATTTTACTGTAAGAGAAACTCTTATATACAAGATGTGCAAGATTAAAAAATTAAAGCTCATTTTCTAAAGGTGTGTTCTTTACATACCCCTTAAACGACGACAATTTTCTCTTTAAAATGAACAGTTTTGAGATCCAGGAACCAGCCAAAGTTGCTTTGTCCAGGAGTTTAGTAGTACAAAAACCAACTTCATGGAGGAGATAGAAAACAAAATAAACTTCTGGAAATGGCTACAGGTCATAGTTTTCATGCACACAAGGATCAATTCCACGGATCCAAGATATTTTGTCAAGATACTAGGGCTGGGCAATTTTATCTACTTTGCAATAATGTTTTCCAAGTAGTATCGATTTTTAAGCTGCAAGTATCGATACATAGGTGACCTTCACATCCTCTGTGTTCATCCCCATTCGAAGAGTAATTTGGTCAGCCGGCTGCTAGTGTCACTGTAGAGCTACTTTTTTTTTTTTTTTCCTGGATACTTTAACACATATGCAATATCTACCATTACAGCCTAAGCAAGAAAATCGCAGAAAATATAAATCCACCAACTTCTATTTAAAAGTCGATATGTGGGAACATTTTGGTTTTAAAAGACATAGAGAAGTGAGAACTTAAACAAAAAGCCATCCAGTATGGCTGTGTCACAAACTTAAAATATTCGGGAAACACCACCAACCTACAAGCCCACCTAAAACGCCATCACCCAGACACCGTCACGTTAACGGAAGACCCAAAGAAGCTGCGATGTGACCCAAAAAAATCCATACTGGACATTGATGGTGGTTGTTCCCACATGTTTCCATTTACTAAATTAAATGTTTAAATGTTCTTTTATTGATTTGAATTATTGGATGTTTTCAATTCAGTTTATTTATATAGCGCCAATTTACAACACATGTCCTCTCAAGGCACTTTACAGTTCAGACGTTTTGGAGAAGCCATGGTACTGTCTACTTAACTGGTAGGTAGACTGGCTACCTCATATGTTCAGTACCTGTTGCTGCACTTTTTAATTCACTTGCTACAGTAGTTTTAATACTACTACTTCAAAGGCTTGTAAGCTACAGTTTCAACTGTTACAATAAATGAAACAAGTTTTCTCTACACGTCTGTGATTCATTTTGTCCAGCATTTGCAAGCGGCAGGCTCTCTGTCCAGTTAGACATATACTATCTAACTGATGTTTTTAGTTCAGTTAATTCAATCTAAGTAAATATATCCAGAAGATGTCATTTAAACCACTGTGTCCCCTTTAAATCTGTCAGGAATTATGTAAGTGTAGTGGATTATGTCAAATCATATCGTTGTCTGAATACCGTGATATATACCATATTGTGCGCTAAATATCACGTATCATATCGTATGGTGAGATTAGTGTATCGCTACAGCCCTGCTAGCGACTGTTTAGAAAAAGGTTTATTATATGTCAGTACATATGTCTAAGTACAGTCCTTCGCCACTCTATTACAGTCCATTTTTCTCAGAACTACTTTCTATAGAGAACCATTTTTGGTCACTTTAGTGACCAGTCGTCAACAGGAGAGGCTTTTAAATTCAATTCAGTTTATTTATATAGCGCCAATTCACAAAGTGTCCTGTTAAGGCACTTAACAGTTCACCAGATCATACAGTCAATTGGTTCAAAGTTTTCAGTCTAAGGGAAACCAGTTGATTGCATCATTGAATCGAATGCAATCCCTCACACTAAGCATGCTTGTAGAGACAGTGCAGAGGAAAAACTCCCTGCATCTGCACAAACACCATTTTGCCGATTCAATCTACTCTGGAATATAAATAATGATTAACGCTTTGTTTTTGTAATTTTTTTTGTTTGTTTGATGAATATAACTTACTTTATATCAACTTTTTCTCATTCTCCATTTAAGGCAAAGAGATGATTGAGATGTACTTTGATTTTCGTCTCTACCGCCTTTGGAAGACTCGCCAACACTCTAAACTCTTGGACTACGAGGACCTTTTGTGACAAAGACACCCAAGCAAAGAGTTCATAGGTGGCCCAGCAGTGCCAAGCGGACACTGTTGAAACTGATGACCCAGTGACTAAACATGCCCTAACTGTCAAGGTTGGGTCATCAGCTGAAAAAAAAAAAAAAATTCATAAATAAAAATCATCTTCTTTCATGCTGAAAAAGCCTGGAACAGCGGGTTGTAGAACACCAGAGGAAATGTGAAAAGGTTTCTATATATGACAAAAAATGAGGGGTAACCCCCCTAAAAACTGAACTATCCATATCAAACTTGTCTAATCTTGTTTTTTTTTTAACTGTAGAGTTTCAAAAATATTAACAAATGATTAAAAATATGTAAATATACGTTTTTTGTCGCCCTGTTGTTGCAATGACCTGCTTTATGGGGCCGATGTGCTTCAGATTAATTGCTGTAACTCATCCTGTCCTAATGTGGTTCTGTGTTTTGACCATCAGACTCGCCCATACATATGACATCATATACACAGGTGATGTTAAAGTGTGTATAGTTCACATGGATATAGTAGTATAGCCTTAGCCATGCAAATAATACTCTGTATTGGATCATGATTTTATTTCATTGTGCATTGTTGTGCATTTTCATATGGAAATCCGTTGAAATAACTCAGGTTTTTGCCATCCATTTAATGAATCTCTTTATTCTATAACATTAAGATATTCAGCACCATCGCTTTGAATGAATGTATTATCTTTTTTGGATATATGTGGGATTATGAATGTTTTGTGTGGGGAAAAAAATGTTTTGAGTGTGTTTTAAATTTAAAAAAGAAAAAAAGTGTGCATATTATCTTTAGTCTCCTTTAAGCAAAAAGAATTAATCGCCAGCATTGCCATAAATATCCCTTGGTCATGTCTATCCACAAAGGATGACAGTCTGGTGTGATTCATGATGTCAAAGGATGTAACAGCCATCCAAGGGCTCCTACAAATGAAGAGGAGTTTCCCTAATGATCAATGATTTGTTTTTTTTTTTTGTTTTTTTGTGCAGAGGGATCAGTCGTGACAAAATCTGCTACCCTTTTCTGCTAAATATACTCTTGGTTTCTCTTAGCTCATAGTGACGACCAGAGTAGGGAGCTGTAAGCAGATGTATGCCTGATGGGTGTAAACTTTTTATTTTTTTTAAAGACCAGAAAAATGCTTTCTTAGAGGAGTGGATCAATTCAAGCTGTTTCAGACAGACTCACCCCCAGATTCCACATACTCCGTCAGCGCTCCGCTCCGCTCCGCCCCGCTGACGTACGTCGTGCGAAGCGCTTGTCTTTCATGGAAATCAATGAGAGCTGTTCCACATCCACCGCTACTCCTCCGCACGTCTCCGTCCACGTACGTCTTCTCCGTCCGTCACCGACAAATTACGGAGCCGAGCTATTTTTTGCTCCGCTCCGGTCCGGCCAGGTCAAGATCCGCAATTGCAATCGCACCAAACAGGAAAAAGAACATCGACAAATTCCGGTTCGTCAAATTAAAATATAGCAGCAACAGATCGGTGACTAGAAATTATAGAAATTATATATTATAAATTATATATATGTTAAAAAAAATCTAACACCGTTTATTTAAATGATTGGATCCAAACTATTGGTTATTCACCAACCAGGAAGCAGATTTCTCATCTCCATCAAAATATTTATTTTATACCGAGGGACTTAAACTTTAATCAAATCCATTCAAAAGAAACTTACAAGAATGAAAAGAGAGGAGTTTGGGAGTAGAGAACAGGTTAATTTAAAAAAAGCAGTTTTGAATTATCCTTATCCCCGTTACAAAAATCTACAAATATATATTTATATATTTGGGCAGAAAACTGAACATATGCTGGATGATGGTGGGATTTTTTTAATATGTCATATTAAATTAAGCGCTCACGGGGTTCATACAGGAGTGAGTGACTCTAATTTAATGCTATTTTAATGCTATTAGAAATGATTTTAATGCCATCAACAAGAACCATGTACACAAGTTATTGGTGTACATGAAATATGAAGGAGCTGTAAGCAGAGTTCCATGACTCCTGTATGTATGTAAACACACACACACATAAATATACGTATATATATATTCTCTAGCTTTTTCTCCGCCTCGAGCTTCGTTTCCGAACATACGGCTTTATGATCAGTTTCACGCAAATTAATAGCGATATAATATATCGGAAACCCTGGTTCATCTCGCGCATGCCCTCTACGATCTCCCAGGAACTCAGAGCGGAGCGGACGGGACCACAGCGGCGGCTGTAGGCTTTGCTTTACGCAGGCGGTCTGGAGCGCAGCGGGGCGGAGCGGAGCGGAGCGCTGACGGAGTATGTGGGATTTCAGGGTAAGTATGCTCTGCCCTCAGGTGCAAACAAACATGTTAGGGCTGGGAACAAAATACATTTAGAGACAAAGTTAGAATGGCACAGATATAGCTGCCTATATATTATTCAGTTGGTGTGCTTTTCATGAGCCCAGCTGCTTGAGGAAACGTGGTTCAGATACCAGCTGAGGCTCAGGGAAAGATCTCTGACGGAAAGAACACAGATGTCATTTCAGCAATAGCTTTAGATATCAAATTCATTCATATTCATTTGTGACAACATCAGTTGTGTGTGGCTGCCCAAGAATATCTCTGTAATAGAGAGACAATGATAACGGTATATTCACTGATTGGTTAATTAGACCAATTTAAAAGCAGTCACATCTGACAGAAAGGTAGCTGCACTTTTGAGACCCAAATATTTTGTAAAAATCTAGAAATTTGAAATTTTTATTGTGTTTTTACAATATACCCCCTCCGCTGTGGGAGCTTTTTTTTTTTTCTTTCCAGAGAACATTGTTGGAATTTAATTCTTATTGTTACCGAGTCACATATGGCGCTTTTTGATTTATTGGCACTTCTGGTCCAGATCCTTAAAATAAAAATCATCTTTCATTACAGTCCCATAACCTTTAGAAACAATTTTTTTGAGGTTTTTTGCAGAGGAAAACAGATTCCTATTCAAAATCTTTTAAGCCTTCTAAGAATAACTTGAACCTTTTGGAAGACAAAAAAATGTACCTTATTTTATGCCATTCTTGAAAAATTAAATCTTAGTCTTATTTTACCAAACCAGAGAGCTCCAATTACAATTCCTAATAGAATCTAAACTTCCATGTTTATGTTTTAAAGTGGGCAATTATTACTTTGTCATGTTTTTTTCACCAGTACTAATGTACTGCTGGTTCTTCGTTTCAATCATCTGAAATCTAAGATCATACTAGAAAATTAAAGATTAATTTATAATAAGCCTTTCAATACATCATTGTTAGAGCGAACAGTTGTAGCCGCACTGCAGTTGGAAAGTTTCAACAATGGGAAAATTAGCATTTTCAATAAATAATATAGAGGACTTTCTATGGCAGGTTTGAATAAAATGTTTAGGAAGCTTATCTGTCAGAATTTGGGCCTAAATTCCTACATATGTGTTACTTATTTTTCTGTCTCTAAGCTCCAGTAGATTTCAACTTATAAACTGGAAACTGTTATATTTGGTGGACGGAAACAAATGAAATCAAATCCCTAAAATGACTGTCAGCTGCCTTTAGTTTTTGGGCATTATCAAAGCAAAATATGAATTCTAATATATTTTATGTAATATGTCATTTTGCTGTCAAAATGTTTAAAACAAGGTTTAAGTAAATATTTTTTAAAGGTCATGGAACAGAGCTTATCCATTCAGAGCAGAGGCAAAATAACCAGCAGGTCTAGAAAATGTAATGAGTGGAAATGTGAAAAGATTCAAATCAGACTAGACAAGTGGTTGAAGAAAGTCAACTGGTCATGAAGAGTCTCACTGACTGGAGTCTTGGCTTTAAATAAGACAATGCTGTCTGCATTTCAGATTTACATACTTTTCTGTCAATATGTGTGGATTTGTCAGAATTTATAAATGTATTGATTTTTTTTTTTGGTTCATAATTCTGTAAATCTTCTTTTATTATTATTTCATATGTGTTTGCTGTGTGTGTGACATTACCCTGCTGGCCCGTTTCTCTGGAACAGCCAAGTGCTCTCCTTTCCTCTCTCTCAGCCCGAGTCACGCAATATGTTTTCACTACAGATTTAAAATTCAGCAGTTACACAACCTGTCATCTCACAGAGCCATTTTAATTCCAGCAAAAGCACTGAGCTGCCAAATTCTCCAAGAAGTTGCCCTTAACAGCTGCTGGCTTTTAATGGGATTATTTTTCAGAGCTTTCACTGGCGTATAGTTTTTCGCATCAGAAACACGGCAGCCATGGGTTATTTTGGTAAAAAAAAAGTGCTTTAGAGAAAAGAAAATCTATTATCAGTTCTGTGGGAAATCTCTTACTCATTCAGGATTCTGTTAAGTTAATTTGGAAGGATAAGGTGAGGGGCATCGTGACTCAGGAGTTCCAGAGAGATTTGTTTATGTTTCTATCAGTAGCAAGAAAAAAACGAAGGTGATTATCTGGAAATCTAATTAAAGATTATAATGAGTTCAATTTCCTGTTGTTTGCTTTTTTTGGTCAACAATGGTCATATAGAGCCTTCCTTAGGGCCACAATAGGCTCTATGCACAGCTCCACTACTTCCTGAATTTAATGCAGCTCCTTTGTTTCCTGTCTTTCATGATTGGATGCACTGATTAATCCAGGTGTGTATGACCTAAGTAACTGGCCAGACACACCTGGATTAATCAGTTCGTCCAGTAATGAAAGACAGGAAACAAAGGAGCTGCCTTAAATTCAGGAAGTAGTGGAGCTGTGCATAGAGCCCATTACTGACACCCAAACAATTCTTTGAAGATAAATATAACTACATAATTCTTTTTTATACTTATTGTCTCTCTTCCATAATTATTATTCAACTACAGCATGAACGTGTCGTTACACAAAGCCCCATTTCCTTCTTCCACTCTTCAAAATAGGAAAAACATAATTCAATTCACAACACACGTCATCTCAAGGCACTTTACGATTGAATCAGATCATAC